GAGTGCAATTTCCGCTCCTCTTCATTGGCAGGAGACGGGAAAAATGACGGCAAAACTATATCTGAACGTAGATGAAACTCCGAAACGACTTTCGGTAAGAAGGAGATGTCCAAAGACAACGACACCCCATGAGGGGAAAAAATCAAGTATGGTGGATCACACCTTAAAGCGGACAACTCACTGACTCGACGAGCAGAAGTAATGGCCACCAGAAACGCAGTCTTGAGCGATAACAACTTTAGAGAGCAAGTGGCCAGTGGTTCGAAGGGTTTTCCCATCAAAAACCGCAAAACTAAAGCCAAATCCCAGGCCGGAGTCGGAGAACGACGGGGAGGGTACAGGCGAATAAGACCTTTACAAAACTGTTTCGTCTGAGGATGCGAGAAAACTGAAAACCCATCAATAGATGGATGAAAAGCTGACACCGCAGCTAAATACACCTTAACTGAAGAAAAACTGAGTCCCAAGTCCATTCTGGACAAAATAAACGCAAAAATAGACCTCAAATCCACTGGCGGAGGAGGTAAATTGGAAGAACTCAAGTACTGTAGGAATAAATCCCACTTCTTTGCGTAAGACGTCCTAGTAGACAGTTTACGACAATTCAACAGGACCTCATTGATACGGTCATCCATCACTGAAAGCGTATTTCCCATAGAGTCAACTTGAGACTCAGAGGATCGTAGTGAAGGACCTGGCCTTCCTGAGCTTGGAGGAGATCCAACTCCTGCGGGAAGTGTACGAAGGATCCCTTGGCTAACCGCAGCAGTGTCGGAAACCACACCTGCCGAGGCCACCAGGGGGCTACCAGGAGACAATGGGGCTTGTCCTGTTGTATTTTCACAAGCACCCTGTGGAGCAGCGGAATCGGAGGAAATAGGTATAGAAAGTCGTGAGCCCACGACATCAACAGACCGTCCCCCATTGACAGAGGGTCCAACCCCGCTCTGGAGCAAAACCTGGGACACTTCTTGTTCAATCGAGTTGCAAAAACATCGATGTGGGGATGTCCCAGATGTTGAAAAAGAGGAAGGAGATACTTTGAGTTCAACTCCCATTCGTGGTCCGATGCTCCCCCTCTGCTCAGGAAATCCGCTTGTTGGTTCAAAGTTCCTGGCAGATGGGCAGCTTGGAGAGTGATGTTCCAATGAAGGCACTCTTCCCATATGTCCATAGCTAGCCTGCAAAGGGACCTGGACACGGTCCCGCCCTGGCGATTGATATAAGCCATCGCAGTTGTGTTGTCCGTAAAAATCAACACAGCTTTTCCTACAACCTGTCTGAGTAAGGATCTGAGGGCAAATTTTACGGCCAGCAGTTCCAGATAGTTGATATGATGACTCTTCCAAAGGGGTTGCCATGGAGCACCCACACAAGTGTCGTCTGTATGAGCACCCCAACCCCACAGGGAGGCATCTGTGGTGATGGACATTACGGGAACGATCGGTTGGAACGGTGCACCCGCCAACAGATTGGTGTCCACGAGCCACCACTGCAGGGAGACGAGGACCTGCGGAGGCACTACCAGTTGAAGGCTCGGAGGATGGATGGAAGGGCGAAATTTCTTTAGAAACCACAGCTGCAACGGGCGCATGCGAAGGCGTGCATATTCGATCACGGAAGTGGTGGCTGCCATGAGACCCAAGATCCGCTGAATGTGGACCGCTGATGTCACGTTGGACTGGAACAAACGTTGAATTTCCAGACGAATGGTATCTGCCCGTTGGCGAGGAAGGTACGCCCGAGTGGCTAGGGAGTCTATGACAGCTCCTATGAACTGCACGCGAGTTGCAGGTTGCAGCATGGATTTCTGTAAATTCACCAGAATTCCAAGGGAGGATAGGACCGACAATGTGATGGTGATGTGCTGAAGGAGACATTCTCTTGAATCTGCCACCATCAACCAGTCGTCTATATACGGAAAGATCTGAATGCCCTGAAGGCGAAGATGAGCGACGACAACCACCATTACCTTCGTAAAAACCCTGGGGGCGGTAGAGAGCCCGAATGGAAGGGCTTTGAATTGGTAATGGTCCTCCCCGACTGCGAATCTGAGGAACTTTCTGTGACGAGGATGGATGGAGACGTGAAAATAAGCGTCTTTGAGATCTAAAGTGACCATCCAAGTCCCTGGAGACAGGAGTGGTAAAATGCTTTGCAACGTGGTCATGCGAAACTTTCTGTAAATGATGAACCGATTGAGAAAACGAAGGTCCATGATTGGACGAAGTCCTCCGTCCTTCTTGGGGACCGTGAAATATTTGGAATAAATCCCGCGGCAACAATCCGCCATCGGGACTTTCTCTATAGCGTTTTTTTGTGTCAGCGATTGTACCTCCTGTAGCAGGGCAGGAGACGCCGGGGTTCTGATAAAACGGGAGATTTTGGGAGTCAGAGAAAACTCTATGAGATAGCCATCTCTTATTATAGAGTGCACCCATTTGTCCGTAGAAATGGCGAGCCATGCGTGCAGGAAGGGTGCAAGGCGAGTCTGAGCAGTAAGGTTGAAGTCAAAGTCCCTGTTTGGGATTCTTAGGGAATTTCGACTTATAGGCACCGGACGATTGTCCCTTATTTTTCGGGGGAAAAGACCGTGACTGAGAGGGAGGTCTTTGCCATTGATCCGTAGGTGATTTGTTGTACGGTTGCCTGGTCGACCAAGGTTGCCTAGGCCACTGCTTGGATTTCGAGTATTTGGTCGTGGGGGAGATCCCCAAACTCTTGGACGTCTTGATACTCTTATCCATTTCCTGCAGAACCGTGTCAGTGGTGGAGCTAAACAATCCAGAACCTTCAAAGGGAAGGTCTTCCACCGAGGATCTGGTGTCATATGGCAATGATGAAGAGCGGAGCCAGGCATGTCTGCGTAACGCTACAGAGGTTGCTAGAGTCTTACTAGCGGATTCCAGGGAATGCTTGGCAGCACTAATTTGGTGTCTAGCCAAGACCATCCCTTCATTCTGAATCCTTTTAATCTGAGGTTGGCACTCTTTGGGCACGTGCGGGAGGAAATCATTCAAACGCTTCCATAAATTGAATTGATAACGGCCCATGCAGGCGGCATAGTTCGCCGTTTTAATGCCCATTGCACCGACAGTGTAGAATTTTCTACCAACCGAATCCAACTTTTTTCCTTCTTTGTCTGATGGAGTAGAGTGGCTCGCTTTTCCTTTCGTGGACGAGGAAACGACCAAAGAATTGGGCTTAGGATGTGTGTATAAAAACTCAGCCCCTGATTCCTGGACCTTGTACATGTGATCCAGACGCTTATTAGAGACATTAATGGAGGCTGGACGAGTCCAAAAGTCCTTGGTAGTTTGCAAGAGAACTTTTGTCATTGGTAGAGCCACGGAGGGCGAAGTGTTAGAGTGCATAATGTCAAAAACGTTATCATCCACAAAACTGGCAACGAGAGTAGGAGTCATAGATAGATCTAATGCCATGCGTTGAATAAAATCTCCATAAGACTTAACATCCTCTGATGGAGAAATAGGTAAATCCGCTTCCACATCTTGCGAGGTGGGCTGTGCATCTACATCCTCGATATGTTCAGAAAAGCCATCTGAATCGGAGGATACATTGGATGGTTCTGGAGATGATTCGAGTAATTCAGGTTGAGACGGTGCCGGTGTGTTAATCGGGGGCACAACCGGGTCTGGTGGATGCGTCGGTATCGACTGCTTCGATACCGATGGTCGATCTTGAAAGCGCGAAATGCGGGATGACACCGACTGACGATCCCATTCAGGTGGGGGTGGTATCGGGAGTGCCCAAGGGTATGGGTATCGATTCCCGTACAAATAATGCCATTGCCTCTCATCCCAAGTCAGGGGAGGAGAAGTTGGTCGGTGCCGATCCTCGACTCCACGTTCTGGGGAGGCATGAGAGGATTGACGGCTCGACATATCAGATTGCGACTGATTTGTCTGTTGAGTAAGGTCGATGTCGAGATCCGAACCGATCGGGTGAGGTTCTTGCGTGGGATCTCGACCCTGACTAGCCGAAACCTTATGGACTTTGGGTTTGTCCGTTTTAGGTTTCTTCGACTGCTGTGAGTCTTTGCCCTGCTTCCGGATCTTGGAAGGTACGGGGTGGTCCTTTATCGGCGTCGATCGTTTCGGTGCCGAAGCATCGATTGCGACCGTCGACGTCGATGATCCCGGAACGGGAGGACAAGTGTCCGCAGCCAAGGTGGACATCGAGGCGTGCCCGGACGTGTCCAACGGTGAAGAGGACTGTGGAGATAGTGCCTTCTCCATCAGGGCCAAGTGTAGACGAGCTGCCCTGTTTTTTCTCGTCTGGTTCGAAAACTTTCGGCAATGTCTGCACTTAGAGACACAGTGCGACTCCCCTAAACAAACGAGGCAAAGCGAGTGCCCGTCGGTGGGGGATATTTTAAGGCCGCAAGTCCTACACCGTTTGAAACAACCCCACCGCGGGGCCATAGGCCAGCGGGAGGGGAACGTAAATAAAGAACAAACACCGAAAGAAAAATGCTAACTACAAAAATAAAGAAAGAGAAACTAACTAAACGCAAGTTTAGCAAAAAAAGTTTGGTACTTAGCAGACCGAGGCAGAAGGCGTCCTACCAGCGCGGCGGTCAGAAGAGAACTGGCGGGATCTGCGTGCCCCTCCTTGGTCATGTGCAGTGGAGCCGGCGCGTGACCTGGGAGAGGCGCGAAAATCCCTTTTTGCTAGCTATCGGTACCGAGAAGGTTCAGCGCAGGCGCAGTGTATCCCAAGGGTGTGATGCACAGAGACCACGAAGAAGATCTGTGAGCTAGCTCACACTAACTCAGCTTAGAGGGAACACTGGTATCGACCTCCGCCCTACAGGCTTCAACGCATACCTCAACATTCTGCAACTAAGGCACGGAACCAGGTGTGCAGCTTCTTGCAAAAAATAAGCATCTTAGCCAGCTACGAGCATGAGACTCCACTGGCCCTTAACCAGGAATACCCTTCCCACAATACACAGAGAGCAGAAAGACTCTCCGGACCTTGTAGCGGTTGCCGTAAGTCAGGTCGAGCTCTGACTCTTCCGGGTTGAAGAACATGCCGGGCTTCTTGGTCATCATCTTGGTGTAGACGGCCTCGTTGGGCTGCACGCGGATCACCAGCTCGTTGCGCTTGCACTGCCGCTGGAAGATGTCGCCCGGCACGTCCCGGAACTGCAGCCGCACCTCCGCCTTGCGCTCGTTCAGAGCTTTGCCGCAGCGCAGGATGAATGGCACGCCTAGATGGGGAGGGTGAGGAGGAGAGAGAGGGACGGTCTCGGAGATAGCTAGGCCCCTTTTGCCCCACACCACCACCACAGCAGGCACGACACACCTGTGTCTGGAGGGTGTCTCCCCCTCCCCGGCCACTGTGCTCACCGTCCCATCTTTCATTGTCCACGTAGACCACGGCAGCAGCGAAGGTGGGGGTGGTGGAGCCAGGGGGCACTGTCGGATCGTCCAGGTAGCCCTTCTGGGCTTCCCCCTTGCCCGCCGGGTCTCCCACGTACTGACCGAGGACCACGTTCTCCGGCTTCACCTCCGAGATACACTTGAGCACTTTGACCTGGCGGGAACAAGCGGACAGTGTCTGAGATCTTCGCGGCGCAACAGGACAAGCAAGTCACAGTGGGGAATCCATGCTCGTGTCTCCTAGCTAAGGGATCCCCGAATCTCGTTGAGCCAGTAGGTACTTTTGGAACGTCGCGAAAGGGTAACTGAGGGCCACCATGAAACGGCTGCCACGGGGTGTGTCTGCGTGTGTGTTAATTACGAGATGCTGGCAGGCTCCGGGCCAAAATATCCTCCTATACTCGGGGCAGTTATTTCCGGATGTGTGGTCCTCGCAGATTCCAAAGATGATAAAGTTCCTGGCTACTTCTGATGCTCTTCCTGCCCAAATGAGGAAAGCCAGGATTGGCTCTTTGCTTGGCAGAAGAGATGCTTTGTCAAAGACGCGTCAGAAGAAGAAGAGATTGGATTTATAACCCGCCCTTCGCTCGGAGTCTCAAAGTGGCTTACAATCTCCTTTCCCTTCCCCTCCCCACAACGGTCACCCTGAGAGGTAGGTGGGGCTGAGAGAGCTCCTTTGAGGACTGCTCTTGAAAGAACAGCTCTGAAAAAAGTTGTCACTGACCCAAGGTCACACCAGCAGCCACATGCGGAGGAGTGGGGAATCAAACCTGGTTCTCCCAGACTAGAGTCCGCGCGCCTCACCACTACACCAAACTGGCTCTCAGGAAATGCCAGGGGAGGGATGCCACAGTTCCCTCGGGCACCGTGCTAGTAATCCCTGCCCTAACATACAGGGCCTTAAGAATTGCCTTAAAAAGCCAAAGGGGAGGGGGAGGTGAGGAAGCAGGCACTGGGAAAGGAGGGCACACTTAGCTCTTAGCTCTCCCCTCTCATGGTGTTTCCCTAATCGGTGGGAGTTCAGCTGACCCCTGCTGATGTGGCTAAGAGCCTAGGGGGTTATACTAGCCCGGCATTACTCCTGGAGGAGTAAGCTAAGGCAGCAGGGGAAAGCAGCTCCAGCATTTCAGGCTAATGAGCAGGGAAGGGAGTTTCTGAAAAGGAGCTGGGAACTAGGTGTCGGCACAGCTTGTGTGTGTGTGTAAGCTGTTGTCAAGTTGCAGCTGACTTCTGGTGACCCCAGCAAGGGGCTTTCAAGGCGAGTGAGAAGCAGAGGTGGTTTGCCATGGCCTTCCTCTGCAGAGCCGTCCTTGGTGGATCTCCCATCCAAGTATTGACCCTGCTTAGCTTCCAACTTCTGGTGACCCCAGCAAGGGGCTTTCCAGGCGAGTGAGAAGGAGAGGTGGTTTGCCATGGCCTTCCTCTGCAGAGCCTTCCTTGGTGGATCTCCCAGCCAAGTATTGACCCTGCTTAGCTTCCAACTTCTGGCCACCCCAGCAAGGGGCTTTCCAGGCAAGTGAGAAGCAGAGGTGGTTTGCCGTCGCCTTCCTCTGCAGAGCCTTCCTTGGTGGTCTCTCTCCCAGGTAGCAACCCTGCTTAGTCTCTGAAATCTGACCATCTCTATAGCACGCCGCTTTTCCCTCCCCACAAACAGCTTACATCTAGTCAATTCAGAAGTGGTGCACATATTTCTTAATATGTGTGACAAACTACAAATATCTCATGCATAGTCATCATGTATGATATGCATAAGCATCTTGATCCTGGTTTCCAGAGCACATCGGTATGGCACAACACACCTACTGATGGCACGCGCATACTCAGAAGTGATAGTTGTGCAGAAACATTTATCTTCGCTAAAGGGAAATGCAGTCTTGACAAGCAGGGCGCTCAGTCGATATGGGGAACCAGCACCACCAGCTGTTGTGTGATCAGTATCTTTCCTGGTTTTATTGAGAGCTATGACACTGATTCTGTGAACTCAGGCAGACCACGAGAGGGAGGGCAGGAAAGGCTGCATCAGTGCTTAGTTCTTGTGGCCCTTTCTTACACTCCTAGGGAAATGCTGATCGCCACTTTGGAGTCAAGAAGCCATTTTCCTCCTGGCCAGTTTGGCCGAGGATCCTGGAGGTTTTTCGCCATCTTCTGGGCATGGAACAGGGGTCACTGGGGGTGTGTAGGGGTGGTATTTGTGAATTTCCTGCATTGTGCAGGAGGTGGGACTAGATGACCCTGGAGGTCCCTTCCAACTCTCTGATTCTATGACTCAGGATCAGCAATGGTCGCCTGACCAAGTATCATCAGCCAGGATTTTAACCCAGGTCGATGACACACTGATCCAGACTCGCTCCTACCTTTTCGTCTCGCACGTCATCGGAGTTGGTTGAGGCTGGTTTCTCCATCGCCACCAAGCAGAGCATCTGAAGAAGGTGGTTCTGCATTACATCCCTGCAAAGAGACCGGAGGAGTCCCCGTTTAGCAAAGCGGCAGGACTCAGTTATCAGACGTGTCAGCCCCATGTGGGGTTGTGACGACTCCATTCCTTCAATCCAGGCCAGTGTTTTAGACTGCCCTAGTCCACTCGGGAAATGATGGTTTCATCCACATTGACAAGGTCACCCTTCTGATACTCCCATACAACTGAGAAACACCATCAGCTCCAGAAACAGGAAATCAGTGTTACCGATACAGTACCAGTCATCACGCTCCAAGTTATTTGCGGGACTATGTCACATAAACTGAGATACACTTGGGCCTTCGACACTGTCTGCACGGTTATTCCCACTGGTTCATGTGTACAGTTTGTTCTTTTTTTAAAAAAACAACAACTCTGTGTGTGTGTGTGTGTGTGTGTATAGAGAGAGATAGTTACTAGCGGTGTTATGGGTATTGGGATGTTTTAAGTTGTTAGCTTTGCGTTTACGGGTACAGTCTCATGTCTGGAGGAAAAGGAGGGAAGTGGTGTTGTGACAACTCTGTCCCTGTACACTGCATTACTCAGGCCACACCGGGAGTCTTGTGTGCCGTTCTGGAGGCCTCCCGTCAAAAAGGATGTGGACAGAATGGAGCGGGTGCAGAGGAGAGCGACAAGGATGATCGGGGGACTGGAGACCAAGCCCTATGAGGAAAGGCTGAGGGGGGACTTGGGGATGTTCAGTCTGGAGAATAGGAGATTGAGGGGGGACAGGATTGCTCTCTTTAAGGATTAGTCACTGAGAGGAGGGCAGGGAGCTGTTCCTGTTGGCAGCAGAGGAGAGGACTCGCAAGAATGGGTTGAAATTAAGGGCGGGAAGGTACCGGCTGGATCTTAGGGGAAAACTTTTTTACAGTTGAGAGTTCTGCAACAGTGGAATCAGCTGCCTAGGGAGGTGGTGAGCTCCCCCTCACCAGCAGTCTTTCAGCAGCAGCTGGACAAACACTTGTCGGGGATGCTCTAGGCTGATCCTGCATTGAGCAGGAAGTTGGACTAGGTGGCCTGTGTGGCCGCTTCCCACTCTGGGAGTCTATGATTCCTTCAATCCAGGCCAGTGTTTTAGGCTGCCCTAATCCACTCCACTTGAGCTGCGGTGGCTCAAGTGGTTAAGACACTGAACTGCAGGCTGTGGAAGGCCAGTAGTTCAGCAGTTCGAGACCCGAGTGTGCTGGATGACTGAGTGAGCTCCCGTCTCTAGTTCCAGCTCCTGCCAACCTAGCCGTTCGAAAGCAAGACATTGCAAGTAGATAAATAGGTACCGCTTCGGTGGGAAGGGAACAGCGTTCCGTGCGCCTTGGTGTTTAGTCATGCCGGCCACATGACCACGGAAACGTCTTCGGACAGCGCTGGCTCTTCAGCTTTGAAATGGAGATGAGCACCGCAACCCTAGAGTCGGATTCGACTGGCTTTTGAGCAAGGGGAACCTTTACCTTTACCTCCCTCCAGGGTTTTTGTGGGGGAGGAACGGGGGGGGGGGGGAGTTGTATTCAGTGTCGCTCCAGACAGAGAAATAATTGGAGGGGCTGTGGCTCAGTGGTAGAGCATCTGCTTGACATGCAGAAGTCTCCAGGTTCAATCCCCGGCACTTCCAGCTAAAAGGACTAGGCAGGAGGTGATGTGAAGGACCTCCGCCTGAGACCCTGGAGAGCCGATTGCCAGTATGAACAGACGATGCTGACTTCGATGGATGAAGGTCTGATTCAGTATAAGGCAGCTTCATGTGTTCTATTATTGTTATTATTATTTCGATTTATTAAACCGCCCTATCCCGGTCGATGTACAAAAGACAAAATGCCATAACACAAAACGCAGATTTTAAAATATCCATATACACAGGGGTTATTTCCTGCAGGAGCGCACAGGAGCGGAGCTCCGGCAGTAAAGAGCCCAGGGGGCGGGCACATGCAATAAGCACCACCCCCTGCTCCCAGCAACCCTCAGTCAGAGCAAGAAGCAGCCAGGTAAGCTGCAGAGCCCCCCCAAAAAACAGTCCAGTGGCACCTTTAAGACCAAGTTTTATTCAGGTACCAGCTCTCCCTCCTCTGCGAGGACAGATCTGCAGTGGAGCCTGAGCGGTGGGTGTTGCCTTCTGACACGCTTCCGGTGATGTCAGGGGGCGTGGCACATGCAAATGAGTTATGCAAATGAGTTATACTAATGAGCTCCTGCATCTCTTTTTCTACAAAAGGACCCCTGCATATACAGTTAATAAGAGATAAAAGCAGAATAAAAGATCCCAGATGGCAATTTACAGTTTTCTGTTCCCGGCCATTTGGTGGGAGGGAGAGATGGAAACTTAAGCAAAATATATATAGGGCAGAGAGGGAAAAGGTGCCGGCCAGTGCAACCAACCAACCAACCAACCATTGCTGCCCTCAATCAAAAGCATGGTGGAACATCTCTGACTGACAGGCCCTGCGCTCCCGTCTGAAAGCCACGCTGCCTCCTTATTTCGACACCAATCATTAAGAACACAACGCCCCACTATTTGAGCCTCTCTCACCAACTGGGCCATCAGGTTCCCTCTGTTTTTTTCTGCTGCCAGCGTAATGTCCTCTGGGCCGAGGGAAAGGAATGTTGAGAATGACTGGGGCATCAAAAGATTCAGCTGGGTTCAGGCGGACAGAAAAAAGGACCCGAAAGAGGGGGAAAGACCAAAGCAACACAAACTGTTGCTGTCGTCGCCGACTAAGATTAATTTGAGGCCAGGTCTGTCTCTATTGTTTTTGTCCGCTGAGCGCTACAGTAGTTAATTAACTAGCTGTTCTCCATGTTTAAATCTGAATGACAAAGAAAGACTGCTAAAACAGTGATTGTATCTCCTCAGATATAACTGAAGACTGTTATTACGCTGGTAGCCACCAGTGTCCTGTTCTTAACAACCGTGTTTCTGTTGGGATAGGGCAAGATGTACATTTCAGTCATCACAGGGTTGACATATTTGTTACGATTCTACTAGAGACCTGACACATGTGGAATTGCTAGCACTTTAATATTATGTCTGATTTTAACACTGTTTTATATCACTGTATTATTATTTATTAGGAATGGTATTATGTAACAAATTGTGAAGAAGAAGAAGAAGAAGAAGAAGAAGAAGAAGAAGAAGAAGAAGAAGAAGGATGATGATGATGATGATGATGATATTGGATTTATACCCTGCCCTTCACTACCCAAAGGTGTCTCAGAGCAGCTTACAAACTTCTTTCCCTTTCCCTCCCCACAACAGACACCCCTGTGAGGTAGGTGGGGCTGAGAGAGCTCTGACAGAAACGGCTCTTATCAGAACTACGTCTTGCCCAAGGTCATCCAGCCAGGTGCAAGTGGAGGAGTGGGGAATTAAACCCGGTTCTCCCAGATTAGAGTCTGCACTCTTAACCACTACACCAAACTGGCTTGTGGATTACTGGAGCTTTTATTCTGTTTGTAAGCCGCCCTGAGCCAGCCTAGGCTGGGAAGGTGGGATAAAAATCAATAAAATCAATAAATAAGTGCAACCTGGCTAAGAGCCAATCCTGTATGCCAAATGGTGTGCTTGAGAAACTGGTTGGATGGTTTTCCGTTGGCTAATGAGCCTGAGCGTCTTCCTGTTACGGTTCTAGAAGAGTGGTTGCTTGCTCAGCAGCCTCGCCCCCTAAGCTTTTACCTTCTTCCTCGTAGAGACTTGTGGTATGTATTAGCCTGCTTTGCTGTATAAATATGTGATTTAGGACTTCGTTATTTTATTAGAACTTTCCCCTTTCCCCCTTTCTTAATAGATTTAGATAAAGAACTTTATTTTCACTAACGACTCTAGCGTCCGTGCCTGATGTACCTAACAGTTTCCTGGTGTGCGTCTGTTGGGACCCCCAACCCTACACGTATGGTTCACAGCACTGGTAAAAAAAAACACCAATGATTTTTGCACATACAGAGACCAAGAAGCAGCCACATTCCTTCCCCAGCTATCTCTCACCGGATAATGCCGAACTCATCAAAGTAGCCACCACGGCCCTCCGTGCCAAACGGCTCTTTGAAGGTCAGAATGACACAGGCTATGTTGTCCCTGTTCCAGACGGGGCCGAAGATCCGGTTCCCAAACCTGCACAGAATGGAGGAGATGGCCAGAGTCAGGCATTGCAGGGCACGGGCGCTATAACTGGACGGCCAAATGAAACGGGTCTCCCCCTTTAAAAAACACAGTTGTGCCCCACCCAGCAATGCTCCTGCCAAGACTACAGCCCGCCCCACACTCAATTAAGGGTTAGTTCCCCCGCCACTTCCCAAGTTCCCCGCCGTACCTGAGCACCATCAGGTTCTGCACCATCTCCTTGCCCAGGTAGTGGTCGATGCGGTAGATCTGGTCTTCCCTAAAAAGCGCCGAGATGTGATCCGACAACCTGTTGGAACTGTCCAAGTCCTTGCCGAAAGGCTTCTCCACGATGACGCGATTCCAGCCGCTGGAGACGGGTTGGGGAGGGAAGCAAGGGTCGATCTTTCAGTGCATGTTACAGTGGATGGGACCGAGACCAAGTGAGCCTGGCGTTCCGGACTCGGGGAAGTTAAACCAGGCTAAACAGATTTTCTTGAGATTCCTTTACAAAATTTATTCAGTTTCTCACAGAGCTTTGCGGAGCATTGCGATGCTGCTCCCTGATTGCTGAAAGCCTTGCTTAGTTCCTCTCTACCTTCTGCATTCACCAGGCACGGCCGGCATGTTTTTCAGGCTCTCTGTCCGAAAGAACCAGCAAAAGCAGCTTATCCTGCAGGGAGAACTCTCCCCCGTGGCTCAGCTGCGGCTGTCTTGGGCATAGGCCCCTAGCTACAGTGGGGCATTTCGGGGCCTGCCCCCCCACGTCCTGCCAAGCCTCCCCCCAATTCCATCCAGCCCACACCCCCTCGGCTCTCTGGGCCACCTGGAGGACTACCAGCTCTCCGAGCCACCCAGCAGACTCCCCAACCACCTCCCCTTCCCCCGCGTAGGCAGGCAAAAGTGGGTTTTTTAATTTTTAATTTTATTTTGTGAGCTCAGTGCCCCCTGACTTATTTAAAGCCCCCCCCCAAGAGCCAGTTTGGTGTCGTGGTTAAGTGCGCGGACTCTAATCTGGGAGAATCCGGGTTTGATTCCCCACTCCTCCGCTTGCACCTGGCTGGATGACCTTGGGCAAGCCATAGTTCTGATAAAAGCGGTTCTTGAAAAAAAGAGCAGTTTCTGTCAGAGCTCTCTCAGCCCCACCTACCTCACAGGGTGTCTGTGGTGGGGAGGGGAAGGGAAAAAGGAGTTTGTCAGCCGCTCTGAGACTCCTCTGGGTAGTGAAGGGCGGGGGTATAAATCCAATCTCTTCTCTCTTCTTCTTCTTCTAGAATCCTGGCTATGGGCCTGCTTGGGGAGTTTGAAATGTCTCCCAGCTGGTTTTTTGGGGCTTTGCTGCTGTCCCCCCCCCCCCCCCCCCCCCCCCCTTGCGTTTAGGGTTTTTGGGACCCGGGGGGGGGGGGGGAATCGGGATTTCCAAAAACATCCCAGATTCGAATACTTCACCGGTATTGGGATCTGGGTTTTTTTACGGGAATCCTGAAAACATTTTCAGGTCCAATGGGCCCAAACCGGAAAATACCGAGGAGAAAAACCTGCATACCCCTACCCAGAGCTCACTCAGTCCCCAAGCTGCTATCCAAGGAGGCTTCCTTCATCCAATGCTGTAACATTAATATCAACTCATCTGAGTAGACTGCTGGTGTAAGCAGGACTTAGATGCCCCCCCCACACACACACTCTTCTTCATGTGGAAGAAGAACAAGAGGAGGAGGAGGAGGAGCTTGGATTTATACCCTGCCCTTCACTACCCAGAGGAGTCTCAGAGCGGCTTACAAACTCCTTTCCTTTTCCCTCCCCACAGCAGACACTCTGGGAGGTAAAAGAAGAAGAGGAGATTGGATTTATACCCTGCCCTTCACTACCCAAAGGAGTCTCAGAGCAGCTTACAAACTCCTCTTCCTTCCCCTCCTCACCCTGTGAGGTAGGCGGGGCTGAGAGAGCTCTGACAGAAACTGCTCTTTTTTCAGGAACATCTCTGACAGGACTATGGCTTGCCCAACGTCACCCCAGCAGCTGCATGTGGAGGAGTGGGGGAACCAACCCGGTTCTCCCAGATTAGAGTCCATGCTCCTCACCACTACACCAAACTGGCTCTCACATTGGCAGCAGTCTTGGTGGTGGCAGTGGTACGTTCCGTCAAGTCGCCGCCGACTCATAGGGTTTTCAAGGCAACAGACGGTCAGAGGCGGTTTGCCATCGCCTGCCTCTGTGTGGCGGCCCTGAGCTTCCTCAGTGGTCTCCCATCCAAACAATAACCAGGGCTGGCCCAAACTTAGCTTCCAAGACCTGACAAGATGTTAGGGGTGGAGCCAGTCTTAATCATACTTAATAACAGGGGTCATTTCCTGTAGGAGCGCACAGGAGCGGAGCTCCAACAGTAAAGAGCCCTGGGGGCGGGCACATGCAACAAGCCCCACCCCCTGCTCCCAGCAGCCCTCAGTAAGATCAAGACGCAGCCAGGTAAGTCGCAGAGCTCCCCCCGGCCCCCCAGTCCAAAACAGTCTAGTGGCACCTTTAAGACAAAGTTTTATTCAGGTACAAGCTCTCCCTCCTCTGCCAGGACAGATCTGCACGTGTCCCCCCCCCCCAAATAGCTAGCAATCCAAAAGAGTCCAGTGGAGCCTGAGCAGTGGGTGTTGCCTTCTGACACACTTCCAGTGATGTCAGGGGTGTGGCATATGAAAATGTTATGCTAATGAGATATGCTAATGAGCTCCTGCACCTCTTTTTCTACGAAATGACCCCTGCTTAATAATGATAACCAGACTCTCTCTTAACCAGAATGTGTTAGCTACTCTTTCTGCTAACCATGTATATAGTCCCCTTTTGGTTCTGCATGTGTATATGGAGGCCTAGTGCTCACTGCCAACTCTCAAACATACCCTCCCTGTAATGATTTCAAGTTATGTGTGTGTGTTCCTTTAAAATGGTTGGTAAGTTTCAGAAGAACAAGGGGGGGTGAAAGGAGGAGATGAGTGAGTGAGGTGATCGGTCGGTGACGGAGAGCGTGTGGGCGGAGCTAGGAGGGGTGTGTGTGTGTGTGCGCGCGCGTAGAGAGAGAAGGCAAGAGTGTTCAGGCTGAAGTCTGCAGTTTGAGTCTGAAGTCAGCATTCAGCAGGTGTCAGTTGTGGTCAATCCACACAGAGTCTGAGAAGCCGTCTTCTCATCATACAGAAGTGTTGTGAAAGGCATTAAGATTCTAAAGGAGGAAGAAAATATACTCAAGGGGGCCCATTAGGCAAAATCTAAAACAGTCAGAGTCTTTCAAGAGTGTGAGGAGGGAAAAGCTGGCAGAGACCTGAGCAAAAAGGGAAAGGTTTTACTGAACAACTTAACGAAACGTCTTGTAACTGATACGCTTCTTTTACCAATAAAGTTTTTATCCTGTATATTGTTAACCCACAGTCTTGTCCTCAGAACCACGCAGTCCAACGAAGGAGCCTTAGAGCTTGGGCACAATACTGTGGGAAAGGTTAATTAAAGACTGGAATTAAATCCCTGGTGGCAGCGATAGGGACTTTGCGTGAGAGAAAGAAACAAGGAGAAATTTAAAACTACGGCAAGCCTAACCACACAAAATAAGAGAGAGGTGTACCGTCACACACACACACACCCCAGCTAAACTCTTACACTGTACTCATGCAGGTTTCCCGGATGTTCTGGGTGACGTCCTCGTAGACGCTAGGGGGCAAAGCGAGGTAGAAGAGCCGGTTGGCTTTCTCGCCGTTGTGCAGAGAGTTCAGGTGAGCGTTGAGCCGTTCAAAGGAGGCCCGGTCGTCGTACTTTCCTTGAACGTAGGAGTTGCAGGTGAAGAACTCGTCCAGCTTCTCTTGTTCCTCAGGGGTGGCCTAGAACAGTTTAGGTATTTGTCACCTTACAGTAAGAAGGGCTACTTTTCTTTTACTATCCCCTAGACCTGAATGCACATCTCCCACTAAGACAGCAGTCGCTTTCTACCCCACCATCGGCCAGGCAGAGAGACTAGTATGCCATATTATGAATCAGTTATGCTATCAGCTTCTTGTGGGCACTCCGTGAAATTAATAAGCAATAGGCTCAGAGCAGATCAAAGGAAATACTTCTTCACCCAAGGACTCATTAAGGCTGTGGAAATTCACAGCCGCAAGAAATGGTGGCACCTACAAGCACAGACAACTTCAAGAGGGGATTAGATAGACATATGGAGCAGAGGTCCATCAGTGGCTCTTAGCCACAAAATACAGATGGAACACTCTTGTCTGGGGCTGTGATGCTCCGTATTCTCAGAGCTTGGGAGCAAGAGCGGGAGGGCTTCTGGTGTTCTGGCCCCACTGGTGGACCTCCTGATGGCACCTGAGTTTTGGCCACTGCGTGACACAGAGAGTGCTGTACTGGATGGGCCACTGTTCTTATAGGGAGCAGAGGTCCATGAGTGTGACTGTTAGGCACAAGGTATAGAGGGAACATTCTGTCTGGGGCAAGCGATGCTCTGTATTCCTGGTGCTTGGGGGGGGGGGCAACAGTGGGAGGGCTTCTGGAGTTTCTGACCCAATGGGGGACCTCCTGATGGCCCCTGGGTTTTGACCACTGGGTGACACAGAGTGTTGGACTGGATGGGCCACTGGCCTGATCCAACATGGCTTCTCTTACTCATCAGAGGATATACTGCAGCAAGCTCAAGAGCATGAGCAACATCTAGAGGGCATCCTGAAGAGGTGCCAGGATACGAGTGAAGCCTCACCTTGAGGTATGGCTGGCTTTGCTTGCGGATGTCGGCCACGGTGAGCTTCGACCGGGCATAACCCACCACGTACGTGTCATCTGGAAGCAATCCATCTCGGAACAGCCACCTGCGCAGGAGATCAGAAAGGCTGTGGTGTGAGGACGGGCAAGTGAGAGGGCGAGGAAATCTCGTGGGTAGCAGAACAGGACTTACCAGATGGTGGGATAGATCTTCTTCTTGGCTAGATCACCCTGCAAAGGGGGCAGTTGGAAGAGGGAAAGAAACATTCCATCAGTACTAGGGAAGGGGGGGGGAATGTGTGCTGAGAAGCAAAAGCCTGGGCTGGCATTTGGATGGCCCAAAACAGAACTGCCCTGATATTCCTCTTCCCCCCCATGACCAGGCAGTCCTATTTGTCTGAATGACTTCGGGAGAAAGAGACCTTCTGTTCAAGTCCCAAACGCATTGCCACAGGTCTAACGTAATTATAGGATTATAACAAATTTACTCATTTTTTTCACCAACACAGTACCGTTGTGACAGCAGTTGTCACAGTACTTCTAAGGGACTAAAAACAATCCTGTCTTACTTAGAAGGAACTAAATGTTAAGAGCAATTCAGCATATCCCTAATATCTTGAACATCAATGACCATAAACGAAGAGTGTTTACTACATCCGGTATCACTCCTTGAGAAGCAAGATAAGAAAATAACAATAATTATTATTATCATCATTATATTACTATATGTAGACAATGACGGTACTCATTACAACCAGTGGAGTGCCAATGAAAATTAGGAACGAGATAACTGACACCACATCCTCAGTTCCGTTCATTCCTCTTCCATCACAGACATGCATCTCTGCTCCGACCACAGCGCAGGTATTGGCTGCACGCATCACCCCGCAGTATAACCTTCCATCCATCTCCTGCTTCCCAAAGGAAAGACTGGGGGTGATAGGAGCGGAGTACAAAGGGGAGCACATCTGTGCCCCCTCCCATTCATGCTCCCCCGTTCCGCAAAGTTCCGTGTCCCCCTTTCCTCCCAAGCTTCCATGAAACTTTTCTCTCGCTCCCGTAAGACTAGAACCCGGGGGTCATCTATCGAAGCTGAATGGTAGGCGAAGAGGCACTAGGGTTACCAGGTCTGGAAAATACCTGGAGACTTTGGGGGTGGAGCCAGGAGGGGGCAGGGTTTGGGGAGGGGAGGGGCCTCAGCAGGGTACAATGCCACAGAGTCCACCCTTCAAAGCAGCGATTTTCTCCGGAGGAGCTGATCTCCGTCAACTGGGGATCAGTTATAAAAGCGGGAGATCTCCAGGCCCCACCTGGAGGCTGGCAAGCCTAACAGGGACAGACACAAGGAAGTACGTCTTCACACGGCGCATAGTGCAGTTGCAGAACTCACTCCCACAGGATGCGGTACTGGCTGACAACTTGGCTTTAAAAGGGGAATGGGGAAATTCGTGGAGGGTGGGGCTATCAGTGCTACTAGCCATGATGGACCTCTACTCCATGATGGACCTCTACTCCAGGATTCCCAGAGATGGTGCCCAGGGGCACCACGGCGCCTGATGACACCCTCCTTGGTGCCCACCAGTTTGGTGTAGTGGTTAAGTGCACGGACTCTAATCTGGGAGAAACGGGTTTGATTCCCCACTCCTCCGTTTGCACCTGGCTGGATGACCTTGGGCAAGCCGTAGTTCTGATAAGAGCTGTCCTTGAAAAAAGAGCAGTTTCTGTCAGAGCTCTCTCAGCCCCACCCACCTCCCAGGGTGTCTGTTGTGGGGAGGGGAAGGGAAAGGAGTTTGTGAGCCGCTCTGAGACTCCTTTGGGTAGTGAAGGGTGGGGTATAAATCCAATCTCTTCTCTTCTTAAAAAGTGGGCGGGGCCAGGTGGGTCATTTGCCCAGCAACGCTTCTGACTGGCCGTGCAGATTTTATAAAACATCGCTGCAGTCATCTCAGCCCAAGGGTCTTCACTGTGTGACCGAAGGTAAGCTGTGGCAGCCATTTTGTGGCAGCCTCTTTGCAACTGCAACCACTGCGCCGTGCCGGAATTCTAAAGCCCCCACACAGGCTCAGAAAGGTTGGGGACCCCTGCACTACTTCCAGGACCAGAGGCAGGATGCTGTCGCAGTCACCTTGCTGTGAAATATCTCGTTTGCCCCCCGGAGCGCATTAGATCCAATCTGAAATGCTCAAAGCCCTAATGGAGTGCTCAGGTACAACTAGAAACGATTATTTTCTTGCTGACCGAGTTAACCATATTGGAAAAAGCCGACTCTTTTTTAGTTCTACCTGAGACGTCATCCTGCTTCCTGAGAACCAGTTTGGTGTAGTGGTCAAATGTGTGGACTCTAATCTGGGAGAATCGGGTTTGATTCCCCACGCCTCCACATGCAGCTGCTGGATGACCTTGGGCAAGCCACAGTTCTGCCGGAGCTGTTCTTGAAAGAGCAGTTCTCGAGAGAGTTCTCTCAGCCCCGCCTACCTCACAGGGTGTCTGTGGCGGGGAGGGGAAGGGAAAGGAGTTTGTAAACCACTCTGAGACTCTGAGTGAAGGGCAGGGTATAAATCCAATCTCTTCTTCCTCCTCCTCCTCCTCCTCGAGGCAGCTGATTTGCCGCCATGTGGACAGAATGCCGGACTTGACAGACCTGTGGTCTCATCCGGAAGGGCTCTATTTACGTTCTTAAGGTCGGGATGTGCTTTGTGCTTGGGGGGGCAAGAAGAGGTGAGACTTGTACTGTACCAAAGTTCCATCAGAGCTCTGCTCCCTCGTTCATGCAAGTGAGATCTAGGCCAGTCGGTTTATTTGAACTGGAGCAGGGCCCAGATTCCATTGCCCAACCCCTCTGCCGCACAATGCCTTTCTTCTCGCAGCCCATGCCACCCCTGTGCCTGGCAGTGCTACTCACCAGGCGCCTTTGTCCTTTCCACGGGCACCGGGCAGGAGCTCTGCTTCCACCCAATGCTCACGCCTGACGGCAAACACGCCTAGTCATGCTGCGTTAACTAAGCTGGCAGCCACACCTCTGGGCTCTGGGCCCAGCTTTCTCACACCACCGGGGGCAAGTGGGAGTCAGCAGCGGATCAGCTGCCCAGTTGCTAAGCAGCAAAACGGGCTGAATCAATGCGGAGGAAGAGGAGGCGGGAAACCCTGCCTCGCCCTATTGTGACAGGACTGACAGGGGCAGCCGAGGTGAACATGAAATTTCAAAGGAAGGGAGTCTTCACAAGTACCATAATCAGAACAAGGGACTCCTGGGCAGGGAGGACAGCAAAGAAAGAATCCACCCAGTCTTCTATCCAGTTGCAGGGAAGGTCGGGGACGGGGAGAGAAACACTGAGATATGAGCACCAGTGAGCTGCATGCCTTCGTTTAGGTGCCTTGTTGTCGTTCCTCTATATCACTTGGTGTGCTGCTAGTTAATGTTGTCGTCTTCCTCTCCCTTTAAATTGTTGTGTGTGTGTGTGAGTGTTAAGTGGTGTCTAGTCCAGGGGTGTCAAACATGCAGCCCGGGGGCTGGATCAGGCCCCCGGAGGGCTTCCATCAGGCCCGCAGTGGAACTGGCCATCTCCTGCTTCCAGTTCTGTTGCTGCTGCTGCATTCATAGCTTCCTTCGCCAGACTCTCTTAATTGCTCAGCCATTTCATGTTTTAACCTGGGTCCTAGACTCAGAACTCTGAGTATGAGATTCCTGGCCCCACTGGGGGACCTCCTGATGGCACTGGTATTTCTGGCCACTGTGTGATACAGAGTGTTGGACTGGATGGGCCTTTGGCCTGATCCAACATTGGCATCTCTTATGTTCTTATGTAATGTCAATAAATCAAAAGTAGGCTTGCAGCTTACAGATGCACACCTGAACAGCATACTCAAGACTGCAACAGTATGGACATTTTGATGCAGTAATTCAGAGCAAGAGGTGTCAGTTATTGGACACTGTTAAATAAACAAAATATTGCAAGAGTGCTAATGTTTTAAGCATGTTTTTATTTTAAGTAAAAAAACAACCCTTTCTGTTTGTGTCCTTTATAAAGTTTATATCTCTGCCAATGTTCCCTCTAAGCTATGGAGTCTTGTGAACAAAAATTCTACTTTGTGAGCTACTGACATTAAAGTTGTGAGCAAGCGATTTGGCGGCTGCATTAATCATTTTTACTCTGGAGCCATCCTTCCTGAGCTGAAACAAAAATGTGTGAGCTGGAGGCTAAGAAACTGTGAGCTAGCTCACACTAACTCAGCTTAGAGGGAACACTGTTCTCCGCTCCCTGGCATTACGTTTTATGACACACATGGCCCGGCCCAACAAGGTCTCATTTGTGTCAGATCTGGCTCTCGTAACAAATGAGTTTGACACCCCTGGTCTAGTCCCTTCTGACTCATGGCGACCCGATGAATCAGTGATCTTCAAAATGTCCTATCGGTTAACAGCTCAGGGGTTGCAAACTGAGGACCGTGGCTTCCTTGATGGAGTCTGTCCACCTCCTGTTGGATCTTCCTTTTGCCTGCTGACGCCAACTTCTCCTAGCATGATGGTCTTTTCCAGTGATTCTTGTCTTCTTTTATTAATACAGTAGCCTCAGTTTGGTCATTTTAGCTTCTAGGAAGAGTTCAGGCTCGACTTGCTCCAGAACCCACTGATCTGTCTTTCTGGCGGTCCACGGTATCCATAAAACTCTCCTCCAATGCCACATTTCAAATGAGTCAACTTTCTTCCTGTCAAGCTTTCTTCACTGCCCAACTTTCACACCCGTACACAGTAATGGGGAATACTGCGGCATGAAGTTTTTCTAACACCTACCTCTTCCGCAAAGGCGTCAGCCTGACCTCTTAGGGTGAGACACCGGATCTCTGGATGCCTTTAAATTTCTATAAAATCAGCCAGGGTAGGGAAGAATATCCATCAGGGACACAATGCTAGGAGGGGAGAGGGGCACTGTTCCCTCTAAGCCGAGTTAGTGTGAGCTAGCTCACAGCTCTTTAGCCTCCGGCTCACACATTGTTGTCTGAGCTCAGGAAGGATGGCTCCAGAGCAAACTAATTCATGCAGCAGCCAAATGGCTCGCTCACAACTTTAATGCCAGTTGCTCACAAAGTAGGATTTTTGCTCACAAGACTCCACAGCTTAGAGGGAGCGTTGGAGAGGGGCTACTCCTTCCCCACCCCTGAGATAAAACCCACCCCAGATTAGTGCCAGTGGAGTGGGGCGGGGGGAGACAGGCCACCTGTCTTTGTAACTC